ACGGAGCTTGTCTTCCCACTTTCTCAAGAAGGTTAAGGGATGTTAAATAATCCTTGCAAAGCCCGCAGACTGGTGGTGGATAGCTGTACGGGAAAGATCACCTGGCCATTTCTGGAATGAAACACATTAAAGCCGTTCAACAGCATCCATCAATATTGTATTTCTCTTTTACAAACAATGAGGATGCATGCCTGCTGCTGCCAAGATAGAGATCTAATGAGGACATCGGCTTTCCTAATGGGTATTCTTCAATCAGGTGTCTCTGCTACCGCTTGCTGCCACACAGGAAAAAAGGCAGGAAAATAATATTTGTTGGGATACAGTGAAAAGGTCACAGTAATCATATCTGCTACTACATCAATACATAAGATTGCCCTGTGCTTGTCCCTCCTCCCTCAAGACACAGTAGCTTTCTCAGTCATGGACTGAATTTACAAGTAGCATCTGAAGCTAAGGAAAACATTTCTAGTGACCCGGCTTGTTTGCAGGAGGGAAGGTGCTTTAGAAAAGGGTTTGGTTTTGCTTTAAACACGTCTACATACAGAAAACCTGAACTCTAGCATGGCTGTGACTGTAGCAGACACAGTGGACTGTACATGCACGGGGGCGTGGAGCTGGGACCTGTCCGGGCAGCCCAGCTGGCAATGTGAGCACATTTGGAGAAGGGTAGAAAAGGTCACAGCTCAGAGTCAGGACCGCACTTGGCTGAACCCTTAAATACCAGGGGGATTTAAATGCATCCCTAAGTGTTTTCCTTAGCTACAATTTTAGTTAGCTGAAATATAAAATACTTTGTTGAATCAAGGTGGGAGACACGATGTTCTTAAGCTCCCCGCAGGTCTGCGGGTCCTCCAAGCTGTGCTGATAGCTAGCACCAGGGGGGCATGGGGACACCCGGGGAGCCCAGGAAATGGTCCCCAAGGGGCAGCGGGTGACTGCTGACCTGAGGAGGGAGCAAGCACTGGGAGTCCTTTGAACTCCTTCATAGTGTCATTTTAGTCCTTTCTGTGGTTTCTTAAAAGTGGGACAATTAGCATGAGAGGCACAGGCCACCAAAGTGTTGCCATACTGCTGATTTTATACATATTTTTTTGTGTGTGTGTATATATATGTGTGTGTGTATGTATATATGTAGTGACTGACAAAGAAAAAAATATATATACATATATATAAATATATATACACACACACACTTTTTATATGTATATATATACAAATAGATATAAAAATATATATATAGTGGCTGACAAAGAAAATCTTCCCTGAGGGATACAGGCCAGACTGGTAGAGTAACCTGTCTCTGGATCACTAAAAATGTCAGGGGAGAAAGCAGAGCAATGGCTTAGGCTGGTGGCTGCTTGGAGATTTTAGGGAACTCATGTTTCATGGGGTAGTTCACACCTCAAATCCACCCAGTCTTTGGGGAAAAATTACATTGGGGGCATATACTGGGGAGATTTTATAACCAGTAACCAAACTGCATTCTTGGGGCTGGCAGGGAAGGGCAAAGCCACACATCATGATCTGCTGCTTCATGAAGTCATAGCAGGTCAGTTAGCTCCTTTGCAGCAAGTGCAGTGTGTGATGCTGCCATCCAAGTTTAACACAGAAACTGCCTGATATTCTGTGACTCTTTCAAGCTGCTTTTTAGAAATCAAGAAATCAAAGAACCAAATATGCTTTATTTATTTTTTTTCCGCTTTCATATATTTCTTCCCAGACAGCAAAGAGCGCTTCATTTTTTCCCAGCACCTTTTTAGAAGTGGCAGACCACTAATACTGATAGGAAAGTTGAAATGTAGAAAGTAACCAAACAAAGTACTGTCTCTTAGTTTCAGGACAACATCGGTAGATTTTTAAAAAATTAAACTTGGAATTCTTTAACCTCAAGGTCTAAACCACGGAAGAGTGTTCCTTTAAAAAAAAAAAAGTCTCGATCATAAATTTTTTATCACTTCGAACTTACTCATTTAAAAATATCTTCGCTGAAGGCTGTGGATGGCAGAGCAATAGAATTACACAGACTGAAAAATAATAACCCGCTTTTCAGTCATGGTATTAAAACGATGCTGGTGGTCTGAATGGCCCGTTTGTAACCTGATGATGACATAAATAAATGAAACTGCCTTTGGAAGTATGAAAGCACCTTTTTATAAGATCCTCTATGAGCTTTCACGGCCAGGGGCTGGTTTTCTTAATTATTGCTTATTAGCCCAACGTGTCACTGCAGTATGTAGCAGACTGAACTTCCCAAAAGCAAGCACTGATTTCAGAGCTTCCTACTGTAGGCACTTTAAAAGAAACACTTCTCCTTCCTTTCCCAGAGGCTGACTGCTCTGAACCTCCTGAGAGGAACTCCTGGAGGATAGACTCAGTCCAGAAGAAAAGCTGGAAAACAGCAATAATAATTCCTGTCTTCAAAGGAAGGGAAACAAAGAATCCGGGGAGTTTGGGGCTGCCCAGCTTAGCTTCAGTTGCCCAGCAAACACTTGTATGAAATAACTATTTTGTAAGTAATTGGTAGGAAATGAGCAAGAGTTAATACAAATCTGTCAAAATCAGGTCTTGTTACTCTGATGAATTTCCTTCTTTACCAGCTTAACAGGTCCCTTTGCTCCTATCCTGCATGCCATTTTCATAAACAAGTAGGGCAATAAGCCAGATGACATATATGGTACATTAGCAGAAAGTGCTATTCACTGTCCTCTTAAAGCTCCAATCTTCACTGGCAAAATTGGGGGGTTCTACAGGAGTCTGTCCACCACCTAGGTCTCTCTTATGGATGTTTTTTAGTGAGTATGTTTGCTAAATTTGCAGGTACCATCAAGCTAGTTCAGGCAACCAGCATGGCTGGGGACAAACTGATCTGACAAACCGGAGAAATAGTTTGGGAAAAAAAAAAACAACAAACAATGCCACCACACCACAAAAACGTGCAATTCCATGTAGTCCCAGCCCTAAACTTAGGCTGGAATTATCATTGCCTGTATCACAGAGGAGTCACCCACTTTACCCAGTTCAGGCAAAGAGATCTCCCCACAAGGTGTGTGAGCAGCAGTATGGCCTTTGAGACACAAGACGACGTTTTTCCACCCAACTCACCATGGGTGGAAGAGCAGATTTAGTTTTGGGCATCGTGTTTTGAGAAGAACATGGAGTAATTACAGACAGCCTTGGGGAAAGCGGTGGTAGTGGCAAGAGGTTTAGAAAAGTTGACCCCCGTGGAAAGGCTAAATCAACGGAGGTGTCTTCTAGTCTATAATAATACTGAAATGTATTAAGCAGGGCTTTTGTAAGCAATATGGTTCATTGCAGATTGACCTTGCAGTGCAGCACAGCGTAAAAGCTCACAGGGGACTGCAGGGAGCGGTGGTGTGAGGTGAAGGTGGAGGAGAGATTCCTCCACTCAAAGGCTTTCACACTACTTTCTCCTTTTGCAAGGGAAATGGCCATGGATACAAGGCAAAAGTAATCAATGGTAAGCAGTAAGTTCCCTGGGGGGATATAAAAAGGACAATAAAATTCCACACTTCACTGAAGCACCCGGGTAATCAACACAACAAGCTGAAGCAAATGCTGTTGATACGACACGGGCTCACCCAGCTCCATGTGCTGCGCAGAAAAGCAGTCGGTGGCTCCAGTCCTCTGGTTCCCTTTTCCCAGCCTTGCCTTAGCATTAAGAGTGGTCATAGCGGTGGGATTGCCTTGGGCAGACCAGGTTTATATATATAACCCAGTGTAGGAAGGCAGGGGTACAGCTCCCAGCCACTGGGCACAAGGGGCACCCATCTCCCACACCCACCTTGTCTCTTGAAATGTGGATGTGCCTGCATTTCACCCATTCCCTTTCACAGGCATCCTCAGAGCTAACCAGCTGGCGCCAATAAAAGCTCCGGGAACAACAGAATTAATCACAGAGACAACATAGCAATAAATATAAATGTGCTTCACCTCACTGCAATATAAAGGAACGTTTTTTTGGGGGGCGGGCGGAGGGGGGAAATCTGCTGTTACAATGCGTCACTGTTCCTCAGACTGAGGTTTCTTCACAAAGAAAGACTTAATTCCTCCTTCAGTGTTCACTTTGCTGGTGCTATGAGCAGTTGCAAGAAAAGGTTTCAATTCCAGAGCATTGGCTGTGTTCCTGTCAGATGTTGTTATCTTTGCGGTCAAGATTTGTTATAAATTGAATATACTTGGCTCTAATTTCTAAGGGATTTTCATTTTGAAGTCAGGAGTTGTTTTATTGGTATCAGAAGCTGGAGGGTGCGGTAGTGTGGTGTTGTCAGTGTTGCCTTCCCCTGTTCACTGATCATTATCTTTGTGATTTTGGTTTTTCTTTTTGAACATCTAGCACCTGGAGCCATGGCATTACCTAATAAGTATGTTTTAAAAGAAATGAAAAAGAGAAAAGATAAGGAAAAACAAGTTTCTCACAGAAAAGAACCTGAAGAGTGTTCCTTACAATATCAGAGGAAGTGAAAATAACTGATTGTGGGATACCTTTGTATTTAAGACATTTTTGCATCATTTTTGAGTTAATTGTCATTGCTTACGAGTTAATTGTATGACTTTTTACTTTGTCTGGGTCCTGGTTTCTAAAGAGCTGTTCTCAGCAGAACTGCAATCTTCTCTCCAATAGGAAAAAAAAGTTCCACTCCCAGATTATTGGAAAAAAGAACCCTGCCTCTTGTTTATTTATTTATTTAGAAAGCACATACAGCGATGCACGGGGAGGGGAAGAGAGATGCAAAACAGGTAGGCATACAAATCCATCTCAAAAGAAATAGTGAGACACTTCCCAGATGATTAGTAGTACATCAGTCTATGTGAGCATTTAAACTGTTGTACCTCTAGATTAAAAAAAGAAACCACAGAGAATTTCTGAAGAACAAGGTAAATGTCTATATTTCAGAAATCCCACCACAATCAACTTGTAGGCAGCAATGTTTTTGTTTTGTTTTTTGTTCCTGATATTTCCTCAAAGGGGTCTCTCTTGCTCACGCTATGGTTTCTTTCCTCAGTGTCCGCCTCTGGTGACAAGTAAGGATACTTGTGAATGAAGATTTCCCCTTCGTTCTCGACCTCTTCTTTAACTTCTTCTGATGCTTGAGCGAAATTCCAAGCTCCTCCATTATCGCATTGAAAGAAAGACACTGGTGGAAGACGGAAAGGGCATTAAACACCTCGCATCATCCAAGGCAAGCGTTCGACCATAGCCTTTGCACAAATGGTGGCTTTTAGAAGCAAGGACCTGAGCTCTTACTGGCTTCTCTGCTGAGTTCTGCCAGCTTTGACTAAGCCCCTAAGGTGTAATAGGTGAGTCTGTGTAAGTCGTGGGCTTTGCCTAACTTGGCTTCCACTGCATTTAATTTAACTTGGGCTTAACTAAAGCTGATTATGAATGTTTCTGAAATTCTACACAGACGCATTTGCAATGTTTTGCTGGCTTCATATCATAAAACTTACCCTTTTTCAGCAGGTAAATTTCCTCCTGACCTTAAAAGAAAAAAGATCTTCTTTTTTAAATCACATGCACATTAACCACAAAAAAATGGGTGTACTAGACAAAACAAAGAACACCATTTTCAAAGATTTCTTTGTGGTTCAGTTATTTTCCCCTTGTGAAATTAATAGACATTTCTAAAATATAGCACAGTTCTCAATCCTCTTCTTTCTTTGGAAAGAATCATTTTCAAATCCTGTGTGTTGATGAAAGGAGAAAATTACCACAAGAGTAAGGTGGCTGAACAGTTTAGAAAGAAAGCAGAATTTTTTTTTCTTCTCACCATCACAACATCAACAAAGACATTTTGGGTAAGCGGAAACTTCCTTTAAAATCTACTGCGGGAACAATTACATGTAACATAAAAAAAAAGCAAACCACAAAGAGGCTTTAAGTGGAATGCAAAATAATTGTTCCATGCAAATATATATAATAGATTATTTATGTATAAAATGAAATGATGGTAGCAGCATGAAACAAAGCTTTAACCACCTTACCTTTATCAAGTTGAATAAAACCTTCTTACCAAACCCTTTCTAGAACTGCAGAACTGACCGGCTTTAAAACAACTGGTTAAAACTACAGTTCTTATAAAATGACAGCAAGAGCACACGGACATGGATCTCTGCATCAAATACAAATTCCCTTCTAGAGTCATGCCAATGCAAGGTAAGCAGCATTTGGTTCTTAACCAGTAATAATCCAATAGTGACCTCAGTTATACAGGGCTAGAAGAAGTAAAACCAGACATATTATGGGAAGAGGAGAACCCCCAAACTTTCTGAGTAGCCAGCCATTCCAGCGGAATGTTTTCAAATGCCCAGGGGACTATTCGGGTAACCTGGATGGAGGTTAAATCATTCGTTTAAGGTAGCAAAGGAATCCCAGAGAAGTGATTTCCACGCACTGTGCTTCCTCCTCTCCAGTGTAACCCTGGTGTATAACATGCATAACCCTGCTTCTGCAAATAAGCTCAGGACATGGGTGCATCAGCGTGTTTTTTAACATATTTTAAATGCGTATGATCTTGCACACACCATCATGTCCTTATGTGGGATGGGCTGCACACAGATCCCACAGTACGTTAAATCTATGGTTTAATATGCTCTTTCTTTGAGATGCTTAATTTTTGCTCATCTAAAATTCTTAAGTATGCATAAATTAAACTACTATTAATTCATTCCAGACCCAAAATGTAACAGAAATAGGCCAAGGCAGTGTACTACTTTTTTTTTTTTTTCAAATTACTCTCTGGTAATAACCAGGAATTTGCTGCTGCAATTACAATTTAAATATCCCCTTTGACACTGCAATATAGGAATTCCAGCGTTACTGGAGTTAGAGTCAAAGGTGTCTGCTGCAGCCCCATGCCCTCTGGAAGCAGTGGGTGAAGCAGGTATCATCCTAACACAGACACTATTTCTATATGGCTTAAGGCTTTTTTAGAGAGTAGCACCGCTTATTTCCAAACTAATAAAAATGTGTGCTCTAATTATCCATGATTTAGTATGGATAATTTCTCTATACTATCTTAGTTTTAATTGAGCTTTCAAAATCTAGATTACAAGGTGATTCCAGAACTCCGTGTCAAACAAGGAAAGGTTCATATTAACCATTTGTAGGATTGATCAGGTCTATTTTTATTTTCTTTCCCTGTTGTTTGATTACAGGGCCCTGGATGCAGTTGCAAGGCTGCAAGTTAGGAAGGTACAACAGTGACCATCTGTTTTTGTGAACAGAGTATTTTTTTGGTGGCCAAATTTCAAAGTATAGCTGTCATAGAAGCTTAGAGTGCTGATAAGCAGAAAAACTTTGATTGCTTTAACACTTCTCCTTGAAGATTGTAATGTCTATGCAGGCGTCCTCCCAGGTGCCATGCACTTGGTGGGAGATGCTATGGGCTGTGCCTTCCTCAAGCCTTGCTATTAACCTGGAGGCACCTCCTGCCTTTTCCTGGAGCCACAGCAAACCTTGCAAAAACTGCCTTTACAAGCATAGATTTGTTAGCACTTGGGTGGCACGCTGGCTCTTCGCTGCCTCAGCTGCTGGCGGAGCCGCTACGGAGCAAGTAAGGCTTTTTAATAACCCCTTTTGTAGCTAGGTACGGAGCTCCGTTAGGAGCAGGAGCTGCTTTGTGATTCCCACAGGCAAGCCGAAGTCTGGGAGGTTGTCTGTGGGAACAGCTAGACACAGGGAAACGACGACTGTTACTAACAGTGTGACTGTTCCCTTGACAGATAGGAAAATGTTTACCCCAAAAGTGACAGAAACTTTCTGGATTCTGTGTTCATCTAAACAGCTATTAGAAAACTGGTTGAAGCTGCAACCCGGAGGATTTCTTGCGTAGAGCAATGACGGAGGTAAACACATTAGGAAGTTTCCTTTTCCTCTGAGAGTTGAAAGAAGCTGAATTTAATTAGTTTTAAGTCTTTTCTACCGGGAGACTGCAAACAAAAGTGCTTTCTTAAATCGAGGATACAGAAGATCTAATTCAGGTCTTTGTTGGTAAGAAGGCTCATTTTATGAAGAACCAAAGCTTTCAAGGCCCTATTCAAACACGTTAAAATGCCATTTTGAGCAAGAAAATTTCTTGCAGCGTCTGGAGCAGGGCATAAGCACTTATCTACACGCATGAGCACTGGCAGAGACAAATGGATATAGCCTGGCTATGAGCAGCACATCTTCATCACAAAAAATACTTAAGCCTACTGCCAGCATTAATAGCACTGACCACAAATTGTAACATGAATAGAAGGAAAACACAGGTCACTGTATGCTCCGGCTTTTCTCAGGAGCCAGGCATGAGAGCAACAGTTCAAGAGGAGAGCAGAGCTTCGCCACAGCACTTCGGTGGCTGAGTCTGAAGGCATCCACTCAAACAAGTTTTCTAATTGCAGCAGAGTCCAGATATGGCCCCTCAATAAAGCAGATCATTCACTTGTTTGATGAGGGGGAACTGCAGCGGGCAAGAAAACATCAAGTAGGTGTGAGGGGTGGGAAATTAATTGGTGAAACTGGTGGTAAGCTGGGATATAATGAAATACAGATAAAAGGTAATCAGGTTTTGAAAACATGGTGGTTTGCCACAGTTCATGACATCCTACAAGCTGGCATTTCTACATATTTTGCATATCTCAGATTGTCGTCATATGCTTTTCGGTGGCAATAACAGATCCAGTCTGGTGTCTCCTGCCCTTGCAGTCCCCAGACCAGCTGAGGACTAGAGAAAATCAAACTGGGATCCTTCCAGGGTATAAAAAACACCCAGCACCAAGCTCCTACATAAAAGCTTCCTTGCGTGCTTCAATATGCAAAGCAGTGCCAGGGTTTTACTGTTTGATATAAACTGATATCCTGATTTTGCCATAAAGGAGTTTTCTATGTTACAAAGGAATTTTCTATGTTACAGAGCCTTACAATAGCGAACATCGTGAATTGCCCAAGCCAAGTCAACAGAGTTATTCTGTGAAAGGTATATATCGGGGGTGCCTGAGGGTGCTTTTGTTGAATATGTTCTTAAATGTTAATGGTTACATGGCATAAAATTTAACTGATAGATATGATTTTGTGCTGTGATAGTTACTTGGAGGCTTTGGCTAATGGATTTTAAATGGATGAATTAAAATTCATTAAATCCTGACACTGGGAATAAGATATGCCAGCTAAAATTCTCTGGCTGCTTATAATAGGGGTTCAGAAAGTTAATGGAGCCCTGCAGGTTATTTTCTGAGGTTTATAAAGAACTTCCTGGCCCACTTGCTGAATGCTTCGGCACAGACCAGGCAAAATATTTCTCCGTGCTTTCAGTAATGAGGCTGCCGTTGATTTACTCAGGTTTGGTAGAAGATGAAAAGGAGGTAGATAATTTTTCTTACCTGAAAGAGGTGAATTACCCCATGAAATGACAAGATGACAATTGTACATAGAGACTGTGATAATTCTTAAAATCTACTACAGTCTATTGCACTCACTCTTCGCTGTAGGTGTAATTATTTTCTGTGATATGCATTTAAACTGCCCAAATTTCCAGGACTTGGACAATTTGTGTTTAAAAACTTTGCCATTATGTGCACTGGTTTAAGTTTATCGCTTTCCATCGGACACACCTTTTTTCTTTCCTGACTATACAGTGTGAATTGAGGGCTGTGTTCGAATCCCTCGCTCCTCTCGGATTAACTTGCCACAGTCTAACTCCGTAGATAAGGTGGTGCCAGAGGTGGAGTTGGACGGATGGGTTTGCTTACACTGTAGTCCGTAAAAGAAACAAAAGGCCTTGCATGCAAGAAAAGAAAAATCAAGAAAATAAATGAATGAAAGAAGTAAAATTAAAAACAAACATGAGAATGAGATTCAAAAGCTATTTAAATCAAAAGAGATTATATTTATGGAAACAGAAAAGTCACAGTTTGTATTCGACTCATGCTTTGGATTAGCTTGGTGATAATATACACTGTATAGCATTTTCCATCTAAGCTTCTTATTTCACTAGAATAAGAATAAAACAAACTGAGAGAAATCAGAAAGTAACGCTGGAATCGCTGGCATTCTAATTTCTGTAAAATTACTTCTGGAAAAGAAGTATGATGTTGCCACATTAACTCACTTAAATGCTTTAATTATTAACAGACTGCCTGTAATAAGCAACACATCGCTGCGAAACAGTAGGACAGTTTCAGAAAGGGTACATGTATATATGTACATATGCATCCCTGAATACTGTGTTATTCGCCCAGAATATTGCTAAGTAAATTAATACTCCCTCATGATGTAAAGCTTTAGGTCTACTTTAATTATGACTTCAGGAATGCATTGCCTTTCCCAGACTCCTGAAGAGTTTCCAGGATATTCTGCACACTATTTAGCATTTATACTAAACATTTTAATTAGCTGCAACTGTTCTCCAAAACATATTTGAATGAAAGATCTCCTGAGACATGAACGAAACACAGATATTGATACATTCTTTATGCATTTTGAGCTAAGACTGTTCTATAGGGTTAAACTACTAATCAGAAGGCTGCAGTATATGCAAAATGCATTCACCCTTTATCTCTGACTTATTCCAAAATAGGGACATTGATTAATATGGCCTGCAAAATTGCTCCACATGAACTGTGTCTGTTGTTCATAGGCAGTGCCATTGCCTTTAATGAGCGCTTGCTCAGGCACACATGGAGATGTCTGACCTGTCAGGAGCTGCCCTCTTATGCAGGATACTGTGAGGACCAAGTCCACTGACATTGGCATTAGGTGTCACGGACCCAAAATAACACCAAGTGCCATTTGGAAAATGTAGATGCATGGTAGGGTTCGGCTCACTTCCTTTCAGCTGTCTGAACAGCAGGCTTGTAGCCTTAGCTTACAGTTATCCCTTATTGGCAGCAAGGAGATACAGGTGATTTATCCTATCCAAAATCAGATGTTGTCCTCTCGAGGCCCTCAGCCCTGGCTGCTTGTTTTTACGCAGATGTCAATCCCTCTCATGTCTCAGCACCACTGCTGTATGCAGTGCAAATTGCACCTTTGAGACAAAGTTCAGTTGTTTTCCTCCCACTCATCCCTGCTGCCTTCGTTAAGGTTATTTTTCTTGACAGTCATTTCTGGCATTTATGTCATCAGCCTTGCAGGATTACACTTTGGAAGAAGAGGATTAATTGCCCAGGGAAGAGCTCCTGCCTTTCCCACCTAAAAGTGCAAAGTGAGCTTGAGCAACTACTTCGAAGTAGCTGCCTCATCTTTAGAAACCTGAGGTTAGGTGATACAAACCCACCTCTTGGTGATTGCGTCAGGGCCACCAATCCTGCCATGCAACGTGACCCTTGTCCCTATGACAAGTCCTGTTGAAACGAAGAGAATCAGGGCAGCTGTAGCAGTTGAGCCAAACAGGGCCACATCAGGGTCTAAGACATGGCCAGAACCAAACTGGCACCAGGGAAGGCAGCCAGAGCAAGAGGGCTGGCAGACAGCTTCAAGAACAGACTCTGCATTGCTGCTCATGCCTTGTTTCTTTTACAGTGGCTGGTGGTTGAGTAAACGGGTGTTTACACTCTATTTTAATGATTGATTCTATCTCACAAACTGCTGTAATACTCAAGGCATGATTTATACACAGCATTTCCTTTGTTTTCCCTCTGCCCTTTTAAATTGCTCATTACGCTTCAGTGGAGCTATAACCAGAATTTCTTTGGCTCCATAATCTTACTTTACTGTGGCATCCATCACCTTTCAGTAGGTCTCCCTGCTTTGAATTGCATGCTTCAATGCAGTGTGTAAAACCCTGGCTGTGGAAAAAAATGCTTTCTAGAGCAAGAGAAGAATTATGCTGGGGAATTTGGAAGAACATTCCTGTTGTTACTCAAAGGGCTGATGCTAATTCCATATAAAAAAAAAATCCAGTTGTGTTTTATTCCTTTCCAACGTAATTTATACTTGAAGTCTTAAAGATCAAGTACAAACTGTTTGAGAAATTAATTGCTCTTGTTCTGCACTGCAATACTAAGCAGCACTAATCGGACTGTGGGTGAGGTACTTCCCTGTTCTTATTAATAAATTATTTGTCTTTAGTGCCAGAAAGGCATGATGAGAGTTCAGCAATACAAAACCTGCACGCCAGCAAAGCGACTTATAATGCAGCCACCTCCACATCCACAAGCCTCAGCCTCCCAGAAACATAAGCAAGCTGGAAATAGATGACTCACCTGCTCAATATCACTGTTTTTCCTTGATTTGTATATAAATTCACCAATGGCTACAAACACCGAAAGAACAAGCCCTGCAGCGAGCACTATGAAGATGCCCCCAATATTCTCCACCCCGAGAGCGCTGGCTTCTTTGCTGTCCTCCTCGGGGCAGCCGTTGCCTCGCCACCACTTTTCCTTCATCATGTGCAGCTTTCCCTCCTCCTGGAGCTGGAGGATGGCAATGGTGATCTTGTCTCTGTAAGGAGACCCTGCAACGTGAGAGCAAGACCTGTCAGTGCTGGTCACAGCAAAGTGAAGGCAAGGAGGGAGCAAGCTGCTGCTATCTGAAAAAAAAGCTCTCCCTTATCATAAGATTGATTATTACAGCTAGAAAGTCTTGGTTTCTCTTCAGCTGGAAGGGGGAAGAGGGCTGTCTGTTGGTGTCTGCCCCGGGGACTGGAAAGCAGAAGGCTCCTTTGGTGTGGTTTTTGTTTGAGAATTCATTATAATTTCTAGGGTCTCCTACTGAGGTTTATTTAAGCCTTGGCAGTGGGCTTTCTTGCTAAGTAATTCCTCTATATCATGTTTGAATATTGCTTTGAGCATCCTTTGAGACTTTCTGCTTTGCATCTCTTCTATTTACTTCCACATCTGTTTATTTTTCCTACTGCATGTAAAATGAGTAGCTGTCTAAGAAAAGCCCACAGTCAGTCAGATACATTTGCTCCTCATTTATACCTGCATAAGCCCACAAGTCCACATCAGATACCTTACAGCTTATAAGAACACAAGGCGGCCAAGACTTTCTTCCCCGTGACTTGCAACAATAGTGGCACTGCAAGCCGAAAATAGCAACTATTTCATGCCAACAGCTTGCTAAATGATGTGTCTTCAGGCTCAGCAGCATTAATGGGCCTGTACAGTATCTGGCAAATAGCAGGGTCATGATGGGCGGTTCAATCTGTTTAGGTTTGCCTCTCATACACTCTGCTCTGGCTCTGCATCTTCCAAAATCTCTGCCACTTGTAAGCCCCTGCAGCCAACTTGTGCTCTTGCAGAAGCACACGTCTGTAGCCCTGAAGGAGGACAAGGGAGGGGCTTGCCCTCACCCCTCTGCTGGAGCAGCACCTAGTTAAAAGAAAATTGCTACCAATTATCTTTTCCCACGATGCCAGGATCTGAAGTTATCAACAATAATAGCAGCAATCCTGTTATTAATTTATAATAGACAAGAGGAAGTTGATTTTGGCATTACGAGAGAGACTTTTCTTTATGGGGCAAGGATTTTATCACAACAAGCAGAAGAGGGTTACATGAAAGGCTGTTTGGGTGTAAAGGCGTATATCTGCCCCCAAATTCTGCCATGTTGGACTTCCCACCACTGGAAGCGTTCAGTGCCTGTGCTGAAATACAGTATCGCCAGTCCTTTGTTCAGGTAGCTAACTACCATCCATCCTTTCCTCTCCCTTAGCACATTAATAGGACTATTTTCTTAAGCTGTGTTTTCACCCAAAGTCACATTTTGCTGCAAATTACAGCAGCTGCAATTCTCGATCCAATCAAGGTAAACAAACTTTTAAGGCAGAATGTGTGCCAGAATTTCAGCGATAGCATGGTACGCAGACACGGACACTTAAGAAAAATCTCACTAGGCACCACTTTTGTGTCTTTACACATCGAAATAGCCTTGGAAATTTGGCCTCACAGCTTCAGTTTTCTTTCTTACATTGTCACGCAGGACATTATTAAAAATAATTGTCCCATGAATACAAGTCCCCCTCTCTACTTCCCATTTCCTTTAGCCCGCAGCATTGTCTGAGGAGAATCAATGTGAAAAACATTGCAGTTCTTCATCTGCTGCGCCAACACTCCGCTATTTTTCAGTGTATCTTACTGCCAGCACTAGGACATGCTGTGACCACAGATGCCAAGAGACATGTGTCAGATTATACAAAGTCCATCTGGGAAGCCAGTAATCAGCAGCCACTGCTTGAGGTAGCCAGCTTTGAAAGAAAAATATGCCTGCTGTAAGAATAGATGATTTCTATGCATGCTATTAAAGAACCAAAAATAAGCACAACAGAAAACAAACCAGAAACACCTTCAAAACTGTCTGTACACAGAGAAGTGAATTATTACCGCTGAAAACAGAAGCACCTCTCAGAAGAAAGAGCAGAATTGTTTCTACCTCAGGAGAGGCCTGTCGCCCTGATAGCTGGAGTCTGTTAGATTGTAGGACTCATCTATTTTCCCTTTTCTGAAAGGACATAGCTGTTAGGTAAACTGAAGCAGCCTGAGTCACAACGCAGGATTTGTGGGGATGTTCATTCCTTCTTGTGATGTTTATGTTGCCAGCAGGATTATCACAATTCATCTTGAGGGTAGCAGGTACATCTATACTTCTACGCGTGCTTTTAAAGATTGTCAAGTGTGCCTGGAGTGTTGGATTGGTGATGGCTTACTGGTGAGCACTAAAACTGCACACAAATCCATCTCCACACCTCTTTGAATATTCAGCAGATCATTTATGGCCTCTGAGCTATTAACAGCCTACTTCTTAGGCCAAGAAATGCATCCATCTACTTTCTCAGCAGTCTCCCAAGTAACTGGTAATAGCTTTAGTGTTAGAATTACTATCACTGGCAGTAATACTGGAATTAATACCTGTCTGGACGTTGCTTTCTTCAACCAGATTCCTCCCAGGGTGACATTTTGCATAGGTTTTGCTTAGAGGTGCCTTTGCTGCAGCAGTACTTCCAGAGCGTGTTAAGTTCACCACCAACCATCGCTGCAGATTTTTCATTAGTAATGGTCTTTGCCAAGAATCTGAGGAAAGCCTTCCTTTCTGTGACCCATCGGCTCCATAATAAACACAAATGGAGATGTTTGTTGCTACACCTCAATCCCTTTATCCTAACTCAGCGCAAAGAAGTAGGAGGACAGCCTATATCTGCAGGTTTTTACTTGCAGAAGATGCTCTGATAAAACAGTACATTTCCTGGATTCACAGAACTTTTGAAAATTCTTCTTGTTTCTTTGGGAGCCAAATAGCGATGATATTCAGCTCATTCACTGGAAATTTTGGAGTGCAAGGCATATGTTTACTGCTGCAAACCTTAGCCTCATATGTGGTTGTGCATTCTCCTGAAGGAACAAATGCAGACCAGTTAAGATGTGCTGAAATTCTGGTGTTAAGGGTCACCCACAAGTCGTCTTTTTTTTTTTTTTTTTTTTTTTTCCCCATACAGATTCTGCAATCAACAGTCTTGAATGCTATGAGAAAAGTAACAGAGCCTTTGGGGTCCATCTGAATAGTGGAAGGATCTCCACAGCTTCTTGTGTTTATGAAATCAATCGTTTAAGAATTTAAGATGCCTGATGGCACTGAATTATTCCACAGTGCTTGGAGATATCTATTCCCCTGAATTTTTCTGGTTTTCCTTAAGAAAAAAATTAAGGCACATTTGTCACACAAGAAACATCTTATAATTATATTTCACAGCTGTATTTCAAATGGATGCACTCTCTCTGAGGATTACCATCTGTTCCAATTATTCCTTCATTGTTCTTGGTTTAAAGTGTGGCAGCTTTATAACTGCAATGAAACTCTTGGCGTACATTTGTCTTTATTTGGGATTTTAGCTTTTGTATCGTTTTCCTCAGGGTGAGAAGGCTGTTCTCACATAGCCAGTGGAAAAAACATACTTAAAATGTTATCTATATGACAATCTGTCTGAGGCACTCAGTAGCATAAAGAATCACAGTTCAAAGAGCAGTGGTGTTTCTCCCTTATTTATACCTGGTCTACCAAGCAACAGAGGGACCAGATACTTCACCTGCTATATCTGTGTAAACTGATATTTTATTGAATAATTCCCCCAAAGACAATAAAATCACGTAGCTATTAACTAGGCATGGCATGGTAAATGCATATGTGAGCAGTATGGAGAAGTATATTATACAGGAAAAAGATCTGGCTGCCCAGTGCCAATTATTCACAAGAACGCAGTGCAAAGAACCTGATGCTCTTTCCAATTCTCTACAGTTAGAAAATCTTGAAAAGGACACCAGATATGCTAAAAAAGGTCTACTGGAAAGAGTTCACAGAAACTGGGAGTCTTAACACTCTGCTTAGCTCAAACGACTGAAATCCCTGATGGAGATGCAGAACCTTGCAATTGCTTCTCACTGTTTTTATGCATTGCTCTGAGGTCACGAAACAGATCAGAAATTCCCCTCCTTTCATGCAGCTTTCTTTGGGACATACGTTGGGTCTAACATTTATCCTGCCCGCTTCCATTTTCCCAGAGACGCTACCTGATCTCTCAAACTAAACCGAATGTCAGTAGAGCAACTTGCACCTGGAGCAGCACAGAGGATACCCAGTTTGCTGCAAACAGGATGCTCCAGAGGGCAAGCAGGTCACTCGACCTCCTTCTGCAGAGGTAGCCTGCACTGCTATGTTCCCTCTTGCCTGCAAAGACTGCTTGCAGGTGAGCAGGGTAACAGTAAATGTTTTGCCTAAAAGGAGGCTCCTAGGGTCTGGTTCAACTACAAAGGTTTCTAAAAGGCTAGGACATGATTCAAATGGCCCCCTTAACTTCTGAAGGGGACATTGCTGGGTGTGCTCCACAACACCTCTGCTGGAAAGCATCTTACCAATAGGGGTTCCCACGCCGTAGCCTTTCGAATCGATGAGCCCCCCGATCTGGGTGAGATTGCAGTTTCTCTGAGTCACGTACTCTATGCTGGTCGACTCCATGAGCAGGGCATAATCTGTCGTGAGCACACGCTGGATTCCCTCATCGTTGTTCTTCACCAGCGCTGTCTGCTGCCTGCTGCTCATGAACGCCCACATCTTCTCATATGTTGATATTTTGGATTTCTGAGGAGGGAAAACAAGGGCACAGAATCACACCAGCACCTAAATTACACTTGTAGAATATTCCTCAGCCTTTTGTTGCGACCGATGTCAACACCACATCTTGAATGAAAGAGAATCGGTAGCGGGGTTTTCCTTCCTGCAGCCTTTCTCTCTTGCTGTGCTTTGTGCTGAGGAATCTCTTTTTTCACTTCCTTTGCAGTGCCAGGAACTTCATTACTGGCGCAACTGTGAAGTGCTTTGAAGTTTTTTGGGCTAATGCTGTTACATGGATTACAGCACATAACCCAGCTAAATTAGAGCAGCTGGATACTGTTGCACTCAGAAGCAGCGCTTCTGCCTGTCAGGGCAAACACACTACTCCAAAAGCCTGACGATGAATGAAGTACTGGCTCTTTTGTATTTATATCACTTGCCTACAAGTCATGGACTTCAGGATGAAGTTTGAGAAACAAACCCAAAGCAGCTTCTAAGCAAACATCTGCTTTCTGCTTTCCACTGCAATCAGACTTAAAGGACTTCATCCTTCTCACACTGAAGTTTAGGGGGAGTTTGCCAGGAGGAGCGCGTACGTGTCCTGTGTCCCAGCTGCACAGGTAAGAGGGATGCCAGAAGCCCCAGACACCTCCATACAGTGGCGAACATCCCATCCTCCCCGCTCCTTTCCTTATGCTGTGGGAGCCCGCGGGGTACCCAGGCACCCTGCAGGGAAAAGCAGTGCTGGTGCCCCCGTGTTTGCATTTCTGCCTTTGTTAGAGGACATGAAAAGAAAAACTGAACCTTCTCAGGGATGTGCTGGAGCCCTGTGCCTGCTACCCTCAAGATGTGCTACCTATGAACCAAAAAACCTTCAGGCGCTCGCACAGTACTAACATGATTAAACCTCTTTATTCCTTGTATGCTCTCAAATAACACTGAGCACACAATGTCACTTTTGGATGAAATATCAAGGTAGACCTACAGACAGCTGGACCATTTGAAACTGTCAATAGGAATGATTTTGTCTCAAGATAGCAAAGCCAACCGTTGCTGAACTACTCTGTGCTGCAGCCTAGCACGAGCCAGACACGCACAAACCAAATTCTTAATGCAAGTGTGAGTTGAAGGTCCTCCACACACATACGTTTCCCCAGTTCTGGGACAATATAGCCTCACTTCCTTCACGGGCCCTAACTTCAGTTTGTAGCCATCATAGCTGATTTTAGGCTCACTGCACGGAGACCATATGTGCTTATTAAACACCAGTGTCTAGTGGATTCCTGTGAGAAATTGATTTTCTGGTACTTTGAGCTTTAAATGTTAATATGCTTCACCTGTAAAGTCAATACTTGTGAATGTCACCTAGATTCCACCTACATTTGGTAAGCCACGGGATACCACTAAACTTTTAAGATGGTTAAGTGACTCTTTACTAGTAGAAACCATTTTTACTGCTCAGTTGGGAATAGTTTTTGAAATTGATGGTAACTTTATCTAGTAGATTGAGTCTGATATTGAATTTGCTGGAAGGATGTATTCCTTATTCGGACAAGTTTGAAAGACCTTAGCTTCTCAACTTGCCAACTCCCATTTTTCTCAGGACAGATCATATGCCAAATTCTGGCATTTGAATTCTCATTGATTTCAGTGGAAACATGTCTTCACATCAGAAGGTAAGAGCTGGGAAGAGTTGCGACATGAGCTTAAGATCTATTGTCATAGAGGGGCAAGAAAGCAATGGAAGACTTATAGACCTGTGGGAAACACAGCAGGACAGCAGCATGGAGAAATGTGTTTGTGTCGCGATTTGTGGATGTGAAACATCTTGCCTTCAGTTGGACTTTTTCCAGGTGTGGACATGCACACACATGGTGAATGCTTCCTGAGATCCTGCTAGCTCGCCTGCCCAGAACCCCATCCTTTTGTTGGAGCACTTCTTAACCGTCCAGGCCCTCTCTTTCAGATATTTCATCTGGTATGGACAGATCTGGGATCCGTGTACAGGGAGGAAGCTGGCTCTGACGTTCCTTCAAAGTCAGAACTCCATTTTTTCCCTCAAATAATTTCAGTTGCTTTTGTTTTCATTCCTCCCACTACCTGGCTAGAAGGCTTAGTCACTGCAGAAACTTTCTTGAAAATATTGACTCTTTAGCAATAGTTTTTCTGGGGACACTAACTATTACAACAGGGATACTAGTGTAAGGCATTCAAAGTTAGTGGAAAGTCAGAACTGTTAGTATATGCATTATGAACAAGAGTAAATAAAAGGTGATGTACGTTTGAATAAATGGAAATAGAGTTTTCAGAAAAGCAGTGGAAGTACTTTGCTTTCCTTGTATGGTTCCCAACCAGCATCCCATCCAGTAGGTACATTGCGTAATATAATCTTTCAGGGGCTTTCTGCTGATACTTTTGTTTTGCTACAGTTGTATGAGGTTCAAGGCTCAATGCTGGGTCCTGTACTTCAGTCACAGCAACCACATGCAAAGCTACAGGTGTGGGCAAGAGTGGCTGGAAAGCTGCCCAGCAGAAAAGGACATGGGGGTGCTGGTCAACAGCCAGCTGAATATGAGCCAGCAGTGTACCCAGGTGGCCAAGAAAGCCAATAGCATCCTGGCTTGTATCAGGAATAGTGTGGCCAGCAGGAGCAGGGAAGTGATCGTGCACTGGTGAGGCTGCACCTCGAATACTGTGTTCGGTTTGGGGCCCCTCACTCCAAGAAGGATGTTGTGTTGCTGGAACATGTCCAGAGAAGGGAAATGAAGCTGGTGAGGGGTCTGGAGCACAAGTCTGATGAGGAG